GATGACGTTCAGACCACTTCTCTGAATGTTGCAAGTGCTGAAGAAGGAAAACCTGTGGAGCAAAGCTGGGAGGAAACTGGGAAAACTGCTGTCTGCCTCCACCAAGGTATTGTCTTTGTTAGCCTTTATTCCTAGGAATAATATTCTTTAATAATTTTAAGATACTAGGAGTAGTTTAGAATTTAAAAATATTTTTAAGTAATATTGTAGGGCTTAAATAAAAGGGTTTATTTTTATTCTTTTTTTTTAAAATGTATTTAGTACAGGGTCTACAGGGTCTCACTACATAGATCAGACTCTAGGGATCCTCCTGTTTTCAACCTCCCAAGCATTGGGATAGTCTCAATTACCATCTCACTGCACCCTCTGGGTGAGGCTGGCACGGCATACCAGGGATCAAACCCTGCCCAGGGGTTTATATTTTTGAAAGAGAGCAAATTCGGGCCAGAATTTTTATATTTTTATTGAGAATTTTTGTGTTATCATGTGGCATTTTAAAATAAAATATTTGAAATTTTTACTTTTATTCTTGTTTATTTCTTTTGCTCTCTGATTAAATGATACTTCTTTTCCAATCATTTAGATAAGTTATAGGCTTTTTGTGGTTTTGGGCTCTATTATTAGTAGTATTACTACAAGCAAGCATAGAAACATTATTTCTTAGTGTGACAACCAAAGTTGCAGCTTTATATCCCATATTTAGGTGTAGTCCCAGCTAGTAGTTGTTTTTTATAAGGTTTTCTAAGACTTGTCAGGACAGTATCTTTATAGAATTAAATGACAAAATATGTTTTTATTCTCTCAAAAACTATCAATTAAATTGAAAGTTTTGGTAAATTAAAGTTTATTTTGGGGAATCAGATTTGCATGTTAGTATGAACATGTAATAAAACTGATGTATTTTGAAAATGGAATAAATAAATTTTCTAATAGAATATATCTATATTACTTACTTGTTCATATTTAGATATAAATGATGATCATGTTGAAGATGTTTCAGGGATTCAGCATTTGACAAGTGATTCAGACAGTGAAGTTTACTGTGATTCTATGGAGCAAT